AGGATTTACTCAAACACTCTATTTTTATCTCACTGAAAAATAACACTCACTCCAGAAACTGATGTTGTTTCTGCTCTCTTTTTCTTTCTTCTTCTCGGTGCAGTTTCTCTTTTGCCGAATGCTCCTATTTATACTACAGAAAGATTCTCCACAGTACCAAAGTTGATAACCTGCTCAATTTTTAATGATGGACGGCACCGCCTATTGCATAAAAAAATGTAATGATTGGAATCTTACAACCACAATATGATTTTCAATGTTTGGCTGGACTCATTTTCTATCATGTGGCTGGACCCCACAATTCTCCCCCTCCAGCCAAAGGGTAATATACTGCAAACTTTACATGCATTCCATGCCGATCAACTCGGCACAAAGCTGAAGCTTTCCCCCTGTTACAACTTTCGTCATCATGTCAGCAGGATTTTGGTCAGTGTGAATCTTTTCTAACCTGAACTGTTGTTCATCCACTGCTTGACGTAGCCAATGATATCTGACATCAATGTGCTACGTTCGAGAGTGGTACATCGCATTCTTACTTAAATCCAATGCGCTCTGACTATCGCAATGGATATCGTACCTTTCCTGCTTCATTCCCAATTGTTGAAGAAACCTCTTCAACCAAGCATTTCTTTTCCTGCTTCTGTCAAAGCAATATACTCTGCTTCAGTAGTCGACAAGGCAACAGATTTCTGCAATTTAGATTGCCAAGATATAGCTCCTCCTGCAAATGTAAACACAAACCCTGAAGTAGATTTTCTACTATCCAGGTCACCTGTCATATCTGCATCTGTATAACCTTCAAGAACTAGGTTTCCTTTTTCGAAGCTCAAGGAATTATTTGCACTGCCTTTTAGGTACCTCAAGATCCACTTCACAGCTTCCCAATGATTCTTTCCAGGATTGGAAAGATACCTGCTAACAACTCCAACCGCGTGAGCGATATCCGGTCTAGTACACACCATGGCATACATCAAACTCCCGACTGCTGAGGAGTATGGAACACCTGCCATAGCTTCTTTTTCTTCTTGACTCGTAGGACAACTTTGTTTGCTGAGCTTGAAGTGATTGGCTAACGGTGTATTGACCGGCTTAGCCGATTTCATGTTGAATCTCTCTAGAATCCGATTCACATACCGTTCTTGCGATAACCACAACCTCTTAGATTTCCGGTCTCGCATGATCTGCATGCCCAAAATTTGTTTCGCAGGGCCCAAGTCCTTCATCTCAAAGGACTTTGCTAATTCCTTCTTCAAATCACCAATCAGCTTCATATCATGTCCCACTATCAACATATCATCTACATATAGCAAAAGGATAATGAATCTATCACCTGGAAATTTCTTAACGAACACACAATGATCTGCATCAGTCTTGGTATATCCATGGCTCGCCATGAACGAGTCAAATTTCTTATACCACTGTCTTGGAGCTTGTTTCAGTCCATACAAGCTCTTCTTAAATCTGCAGACCATGTGCTCCTTTCCAATCTTCTCAAATCCTTTTGGTTGCTCCATGTAGATTTCTTCATCTAGATCTCCATGAAGAAATGCAGTCTTCACATCTAGTTGTTCAAGCTCCAGATCCAAGCTAGCCACCAATCCGAGTACTACTCGAATAGAGCTCATCTTTACAACCGGAGAGTATATCTCATCAAAATCTATTCCTCGCTTTTGTCCAAATCCTTTCACGACTAAGCGAGCCTTGTGCTTCAACATCTTGTCACCATCTTTCTTAAGCTTGAATAGAGCGAGCCTTGTGTAGATTTCTTCATCTAGATCTCCATGAAGAAATGCAGTCTTCACATCTAGTTGTTCAAGCTCCAGATCCAAGCTAGCCACCAATCCGAGTACTACTCGAATAGAGCTCATCTTTACAACCGGAGAGTATATCTCATCAAAATCTATTCCTCGCTTTTGTCCAAATCCTTTCACGACTAAGCGAGCCTTGTGCTTCAACATCTTGTCACCATCTTTCTTAAGCTTGAACACCCATTTTATTTTTCAAGGCTTTTCTGCCTTCCGGAAGCTTCACAAGCTCATATGTTTTATTTTTCATCAGTGAATCCATTTCTTCTTGCATGGCTTTCATCCACTGGGATTTATCCTTATGACTCTGTACTTCTCCAAAGCTTTCTGGCTCCCCTTCTTCAGTGATGGTAATATACGTGGAACTAGGGTATCTCGTAGACGGTTGGATCGCTCGATTTGATCTCCTGAGCTGAGGTGGAGCTTCGAGGTCTTCCTGCTCGACACCTTCACCACCGCCATCTTCTATTGTTGGCTCAACATCAACCCTGAGTTCTCCATCACACTCTCCCCCTGCTGTGGCATCTCCAGGAGGTTTGACAGGTGGAAGATCCACCTTTCCACTTGGTTCTCTGATTTCTGGTGAAGCAGAATCAGACATAGTTTCTTGCTCATGGAACACTACATCTCTGCTTCTGATAATTTTTCGATTTTCTGGATCCCATAACCTGTAGCCAAATTCCTCATCTCCATAGCCCAGAAATATACAAGGAATGGCTTTATCGTCAAGTTTTCGTCTATGTTCCTTACTTACGTGAGCAAAAGCTTTGCATCCAAACACCTTCAAATGAGAGTATTTAACATCATGTCCGGACCATACTCTCTCGGGGATATCAAAGCCCAAAGGAACAGATGGAGATCGGTTGATCAGGTAGCATGCCGTTAGAACAGTTTCACCCCAGAATGGCTTAGGTAGCTTAGCCATTCTTAACATACACCTCACTTTCTCCATAATGGTTCTGTTGATTCTTTCAGCCACACCATTATGTTGTGGGGTTCCAGGTACAGTCTTTTCATGCCTGATGCCATGCTCGGCACAATAATTCTTGAATTCATGGGAAGTATACTCCCCCCCATTATCTGAGCGAAGACACTTCAAAGGTTTACCAGTCTGTCTCTCCACCATAGCATGAAACCTTTTGAAGTATTGAAAAACTTCACCCTTCGTTCTCAAGAAATATACCCACAATTTTCGTGAGGCATCGTCAATAAACGTCACGAAATATCTGCTACCACCGAGACTCTCCACTTCCATGGGTCCACATACATCAGAATACACCATCTCCAACACATTCTCTTTCAGCTTCGAGGTTTTGCTGAAAGACACTCTATGATGCTTCCCAAAGAGACAATAATCACAAGGATTCAGTTTTGAATCTTTGGCAAATGGGATGAGGGACTTTCTTGCCAAAATTTGTAATCATTTTTCACCAATATGAGCCAGTCTTTTGTGCCACAAATTTGGCGAAGCATCATCCTCGACTGCATGCAATCCACCCTTGATCAGCTTCACTTGAGTTCTGTACAGTGTAGATCTCACTGTACCTCTAGCAGCTAACAACGATCCTTTGGTAAGCCTCCACGTGCCGTTACCAAAATTGTTAGTATAGCCTGCTAGATCCAATGCATGCACAGAGACCAGATTCAAACGTAAGTCTGGTATATGTCGTACGTCCTTCAGTGTTATTGTGCACCCAATATCAGTTTGAATGCACACATCACCAATTCCCACAATATTTGCAATGCTGTTGTTGCCCATCTTTACTCTACCAAAGTCTCCTTCTTTGTATAGAGAAAAGAATTCCTTGTGAGAGGTTGCATGGTATGATGCTGCTGAGTCAATGACCCATTCAACACATGAATCAACAACATGACACTCTTCTTCTTTAACAGAGAGCAACACCACTTTGTTTAGTATATAAATGATGGGCAAAGGATAACCGAGTTACCCGACTCGGGTCGAT